TCAGTCTGTAGTTTAACACATCCTGGATGGTCTCACATGCTTTTTATATAAAAGGAGAGGAGGACTGTGTAATTGCATCGTGACTATTCTGTTTCACTCTAAAAGGAAATTAAGGTGGTATTTATTTATAGCCTGAAATATTCTTGATTATTTTATCCTATCAAAATTTCCATCAGGTTCTTATGAGTGTATTTTACCCAAGTCTGCTACTATGTTTTGCCTCACTCATAGCCTGTATAAATGCTGATGTTTATTTGGTTATGCTGTTTGTCAGTTCAGCTGCAGCTGAAATCATTAAATTCTCATATAATTAAAGTGGTGCCATTCAAACAGCTAGAGTTAAGGCTGTGTCAGCAATTCCATTAAAAATCCTTAATTTAAATGGTCTGCAATAACTCGATCATAAAACATGTTTTGAACCGAACATGGGCTTGTAAGACTTCAGGCCAGGAACATCTTCCTGAAAACAACAAATCAACTTCCAGAAACAACAAACCAAAAGAAAAAAAAAAGAAGCCAACCACATGAAAGTAGCTCTCTAATAATTTCAAGAATGAATTTAATATTTATGAAAGGCAAAGTTTACTGCCCTAAGGAAAGAGCTATGGTAAAAGTCTGCTGTAACACAAGAGGTGCATTGCAAGTTTTCTCTTGTGCATCAGTTTGATTTACAAGATTCTGATTCTGTAAGTTAAGAGAATTGTTTGGTCCCTGTGTAAACTCACCTCTGCTTTAAGGCTGGTAACCAGAGTCATTTGATGACAGTTTTGATAGTATATTAAGGGACCAATTAAAGGCACCCATGACAGCCAGCACAGGCAACTGGTTCCACCAAATGCACTTCATGTGCCCTCAGTCACCAAGGGACCATTCAGGATTATGTGGGCTGAATCTGTACCATAACCAAGAGGTGAAAGGTCCTCATTCTTTAATTCATAAATAACCTGACTCTCCAGTTGCTTGAAGCCTAATAGGGAGACAATAAAAAGGGACATGGACTAGGCAGAGGCAACACAACCATGCAAGTGTGTTAGTTCAGATGCTTTTCACATTCCCATTCCTGCCATTTTTAAATGGTGTAATTTTTCGTCCTGAATTTCTCAGCTGTACCAAAGCTCACAACCAAAGCAGAGCCTCTGTCACTGTATTCTGAGATAATTAGTTGAAAATGTCTTCCTAAAAATATAGCCAGCATTCTTGATCACAGGAACACAGGCTGACTCAAAAAAAAAACCCCAAAACCAAACCCACCCCCCCCCCCCCCCCCCCAGCAAAAAAACAACCCTCCCCACTCTAACAACTTTCAGCATAATCTTTGCAGGTAATATCTCACAAAGTCCCAGTTAACAGTGAAAAATAAATACCTTGTAAAGCTCTGCTGATATTTAGGGAGTATAGTCTGACTTTAGTTTGACATGACCTACAGCTAGCACAGTTCAGAATCTATCTAGAAAATAGATTTATGACAAGTTTTAAAATGGATTGAGGATTTTCCTGGTGAAATGCTCTTGTTTATACATTTCAGCAAGTGTCAGCCAATTGTCTTGGAACTTTGAACAGAAACTTACTTTGAACAGAAGATTTTGATCTTAAAACCATTGTCCCTATTACAGTCACTAACAAAACTTTTGTCATCAGTGAGTCAGGATCTTAGTGTCTGCATCTAAGGATGAAATGAAAGGTATTTAGTCTTTATTATTTATGGCAATATTGCCTAGAGAGACAGTGTGATGGTAAAGACTCTGCTATACTTAGTCCTAATTATCAGACTATATCTAGTTCCACAAATCTGTTCTCATAGCAAATCTCACAAAGATGTGATTTTTTTTTCTCCTCCCTTTCCCCTCAATTGAGCAAGCCTTCAAAGCTAGTCTTATCTCATTTAAGTTTATTGCACTCTATTTATTTTTTCTTTATTTTGGTTTTACTCAGTGCACCTGGATATCGGCAGTATAAGAAGAATACATAAGTATCAATTAGAAATATTTTTAAAGTCCCTTAAAAAAGATATTCCATAAAATGTCTACCTTCTGAAACATAGCTGGTTAACATTTTCTTCCTGGAAAAATGTTATGCCATAAAGGAGTCCTCGCAGCAGTAATTGTAGTAAAATATAAAACCAGACCTCATTAAAATCTAAACCTCATGATATTCCCTTAGTGTATGTTTACTGTGCTACCTGAAAAAAACATCCAAAGTTGTTATATTTCATGAAGTGATCAGTGATCTTACACACACTTTCACATTGGTTAGCCCATGTTTTCAGTGAGTGTTTTATCTCCATCTATATCATCTAGAAAGCAATACAATCATATTTGGGACTCCGCAGAAAGTGAGGAATGTTACAGTGATACCATCTACTATATGTACAAGACAGATAAACTAGGGGTTCACTGGTTATCAATTTCTTCCTTACAGTGATGTGATACTATAACATGAAAAGGTTTTGACATCCCTACTTGGGGTGGACAAACCGCCACAGAGTCACCGCAGTCACACAGATGACAAGTAGTGTCACTCTGGGACCAAAGCCAGCTTAGCTATGCCTGTGGCATGCACTGCTCATGCACAGCACTGCTGTAGTGAGGCTTTCATTTTTAGGCTCAGTACAGCATTTCAACTCATCATCAAGTTGCGCTGTGCCTTCTGAAGAAAGTTTATGAGTCTCTAAAATTCAAGTGCCTTACACACAGACATGTCCGAAGAAAAGAATAGGTGGCTGCAGTATAGGAAAAACATCAAAGCCTCCTAGCTTTAAAATTGTGCTACCATTTTACAGTAAGTTGGCCAAGTAAATGACAAGATCTATATAAAACCCCTGCTGAAATTCTAATTCATATTTTTCCAGTTTCAAAATTGGTGTTTTGAATGGTTTCCTATGCCAGCAACTATGACAGTAAAAGATGTGCAACACTGAAATCACTCACGAGATTCTTCTGTCTTGCAACAACTCTTCCATTCTTAACAGCGTTTTGCAGTCATGTAGTTACTGACAATTAGCTGATTGCACTGGCTGCATAGTTTTGGTGCTCACCCTAATGATATAATGAATGGCAGTTTATTGATGTGGACCATGCCAGTTGTATTTGTTCTGTAAATCCCAGGATCATTGATTTTGAGGAGGGATTCTAAAACTATAAGAGAGTCACCCCTAACTTGCATAAGGGTCGAAGAGTACCACTACATTATGACATGGTGCATGAATAAGCAGCACCTTGTGCTTTAACATATTAACTATTGTGACTCACTGCTTCAGGGAACTGTTGTCTTTGTAAAATCACGATGAAAACCCAAGTATAATCAAGTTCCTATTTTTGCCTTCTTGCAAATAAAAGTGAGGGAAAAAGTGACAGCACTTGAAAACAACCCAAATATAATATTCAGCTCAGATGACCTTTATACTTAGCAATTAATCAGTTGTTTAGCATGGGTGACCTGCATATATGTGCAGGGTTTCCCAACAGAAAGTGTTCCCAAAGACTTTACCATGCCCAGTGAGCAAAGGTGTTCTTCAGCTTCTGTCACACAGAACTCTTAAGATTATTTTTGATCATGTGATAACCTTGATTTCAGTATAAGTGCAAATAAAACTACTTCTGTTTATAATCACAAGTATCTGGCCACTTGTATAATTTCTTCAGTTCTACTTCCATTCTTCTTCAGCACTCTGTCAGGTTTTGAGACATTGGCATATACAATATGATCTCAGGATGTGGGATTTCTTCCCTACCCATGCATAGAACAAAATTACCCTGGCTAAGGTGACATTAGATAATTTGTGTGAATGCTGCTTAAGATGCTGATTTAAAACCACAAAAACAAACTTTACAGTCTGATCCAGTCCACATACTCCTCCCCACAACCACCTTACTCTGTGTGAAAGGTTTTATTCAAACCCAAAATTGCTTCTCTCCCTCAGATTCTTATTTTCTGCTTTCTGCAAAAGAATCACTAGGGAGCCTCTTTTACTGCTGATCTGATGCAATAAGAGGAAGCTGAAAGTTATTGTGGCCTAGATGTGTGCCTATGCCTTAGAGACAGTCTCTATCATTAGCATCTGAGTCATTGTCAGTAATTACCCATTTCATCAGCACAGGTCTCTTTTGTTACCTTATGGAATTTTTTCTAACCTTGTTTATAACAAGAGCTTTATCTGGTGACTTTTCAGGTGTCCTTTGGTTATTGACAAGACATTACTTAAAACTTCTTACTTTCTATCAGTTATTCACCTCTCACAAGAACGTTTATCTATTGCTTGTTAGTTTTGTGGGGGCTTTTGATCAGTAGGAAGGTTGGTATAAACAGTTTCAAGTTAAGTCTTTTCCTCTACAGTCAATGGAAGCATAGTGATTTCATTTGCATAGTGTCATGACTATTGTCAAATTTGACTTTAAACCCATTCTTGCAGGCAGAAATGCTTGAATATAGTTAGAGATCATGTGCATTCATTTTCCCTAAACCCTACTATGCTCCACTTGTAAGTTTAGATTATTGATACTTCCTAGAACCCTAGAAATAACCAAGAATTACAGAACTACATTTCTCAGGACAACTGGAGATATTTTAGTTGTAGCAAAAACGAGAAATACATAGTCAGTAATGAGGGGATACTTGTCTTAACCCACCACCAGGAACTTAGTTAGTGAAACTGTGTGTGCAGGCAAACCTAGCCATGGGGACTGCTAGCTACTTAGTTCAGTTCTCTTTTTGCCAATATGAGAAAGGACAGGATCGGTAATAGAACTTGAGGCATTACTATTCAGGTCCTCAGCAACACCTTGTTTCATAATTTCTGTGCCTCTGATAGTTTTGAAACAGGTATTCACCTGAAACCTGTACCCATATTTATCCTCACACTTCCCATGGGGTTTTATAAGAAAAATTAAAAATAGTATCAGACTACAAGTAACAAGCTAACCTGTCAAAACCCATGTAGTCAAAACAGTTATTCCCCTGATTACATGCCTAAATAGAAATAACTCTGTGGCTAAACCACCCACCTCAGTAGTGGAACACCAGCAATAGAAGCTCCTCTTTTACCCTCTGTTCCCAAGGACCAAATTTTGCTGTGTGAAGATAAATCCTAAGCCCACGATCTCCCACAGCCTGAGAGAACAGGCTCACTGAAACCTTTTTACCTGTATTGAAATTGTTTCTCTGTCTATGTTCTGAGAAATATCTTAAAAACAAAAAAAATGGGAGGAAAAAAAAAGGGGGGGGGAAGCCTTTTTATTGACTGCAAGAGGACTGAAGTATGCCAGGTGAGGGCTATTGCTACAGCCACGGCTGAGGAAAAGCTAAATTCCTGCACCTGAGGGAGCCTCAGTGCTGGGGAAAACAGACAACAAGCTGTTGGGGAAGGAATAGTAGGGGGTTTGGGTTTTATGATGTGCACAGATTCTTCCTTTAGATAAGTGTGAGAGATCTAAATAAAGAGTGACTAGAGATTAAATGATAATCATTGTTATCAGGAAGTTTGGATCATTACTTAAGGAGCAATTTTGTTCCAAAGATACTGCTTCTGGGAATTAGAGCAGATTGTACACTGAGGAGAGATGAACAGTATTAACATGGTCATCCCTCCAGGCACTTCTAAAAAATGAATTCTTCCACTTCTGTAGTATAATTAATATTATTTCATATAGTTTATGGGTTTTGTCTGTCTAGGTAGTGTAAGCAGCACTGTACTGCTTAGGGTTCTTCAGAAAGTTTCAAAAGGAATCTCAAAATAGGGGAAAATGAATGCTCTTCTGTTAAATAGTTTTAGCCAACTGATATTTATGCTTTTATAGATTCCTCTTACTTAAGAATTGACAAGTTGAAACAGCCCATTAAGTATAAATATTCTTTAAATGGTAAAAGAGAGATGCTCAAGCAGTAGCAGATTTCAGAGCTTTGACAGTACACAATCTTGTCGTGAAGATGGCGTAGAACTGAGTTTACAATCTCCTGCATTAGGCTGTTTTGATACTTGCTTATATACACTTCAGGATTATTTCCATGCCGGATTTCTCCTTTTTCTTCCTGTAGCCATTGAGCCTTATTAAGTCTTTCCTACAACGTCTTTTTCATGTGCAAATAACTACATTCTGTGATTAAGCCATGTTTCAGCCTCTTGAATAAACAGAATAGTTAAGCCTTATCAGCCCAACATCACAAGTTTATGTTTGTTTTATAGTCACTTAATAATTACAGGCTTCTATTTTGCATTTTCTCAGTGTTTAGTTGTTTTCCTGGGGCCATTCCAGAAATACATTCTAGCACTGATTTTTACTAGTACTATGTATAGAGGTACAAGTGCTTTCCTACTTTCATTTGGGACCACTCCTTTTCTTAACAGTGTAAAGAATTTACTTGCCTACTTAGCAAGCCATTGCAGGAAGAATTCACACTGAGATAATGAACTATACAATAGCATGGAACTAATTTGTGAGGGACTGTTTTTTAAGACATTTATTCTATAAAAATTGTTGTTGTTTTTTAGATATATTGTATTTAATTATACTGGCATATATCTGACTGGATCATGGTACTCAAACAGCACAGGACCCTTCTGCTTCCTTTCTTATTATCCAGGATTCATGTACAAAATTTACCATAAGTGTAATAATATAATTTTTTAAATCACTGTTAAAAGCAAAGAATATCACTGACAGAAGAACCAGTAGCCAATGGACTCTCTAGTAATTTTCTGACCCCTACCTGTTAGAAAACATTTATTTTGCAGCAGGTTTTAAATCCAAATATTTATTGAAGGAAACCATGAAATTTAGACTAGGGTTATGTAGGGTTACTAATATATTCTGAAGGAGATTTTTTGTGAAACTGAAAATATCCAAGGAGGTAACATCCCTTGAAATTTACTGAAATCTTCATTTTACTGGTATTTCCCATCACATTAAATGATGTTTCAAATACATTTTTTTCAGAAAGTGCCTTTCGGAGTGCAAATGACATTTATTCTTGCTGGAGGCCCGCTACCTCCCCAGTATTTTATACATGCACAACATGGAAAGTGAAATACTGCAGCACTGTGTGAAATTGAAGCAGTACCAAGAGATTATCATACATACTACACTGAAAATAGGATCAAAGTTATAAATGCTGATTCAGTTATCAGGGCACTGTGGGTTTGCTCTTATTTATAAAATGACAGAGCAAATCACAAAGGCCCATAGCAATTATTAAGGGTGATGTGGTGAATTTATATGTCCTGAAAGTGGGCCATGCATTGCTGTAATACACAGGGAGTATGTCAGGAAGGGGATTATGACTGAGTTACAACTCTGCCTAGTTCCACTTACCCCAAGCATGGAGCAATCTGTTTTGATCTCTATCTACAGAAGGGTATCTTTAGCTCTGTGGGGACTTGATTGTGTAGAGTTCTGTTTTAGTTATCAGTAGTAATGGAAAAGGACCAGGAACAAAATAGGGATTCTTGGTAACTTTGCTGAAGTTTTTGCTTCAATTTATGTTAAACCAGTGATAAAAAAGTTTAACTGAGAACACATCCCAAATAAAAGATGGTACTAGAGTAGGTAATGGCACATAGAGTAAGTAAAAGTAATGTGGGGAATAAGGGACCCTATCCAGGGTTTCTGATTCTCTCAGATCACAGCAATACACAGTGTAAACACAGAACTGGAGAAACAACTGACTCCTCCGGAGTCCAATCAAATCAATTCATAAGAAAGAATATTTGAGTACCATCTGGGAAAGTCTGAGCATGATTGTGCAGGTCTAGAGACAAAACAAAACTTCAGAGAATTACAGCTGTGTAGACAATGGTCTTCCAGCTTGCAGAATGAAGAAATTAGTTCCTCTCTGAATTTAATTCCCTAACCATTCCACTCTGCTTACATGACAGTATGTATTGTTTAATTTTTTAGGAAAAATACATACAAACTAAATTCAATTTAGAAATAACTGTTGAATGTCAAGTCCTTAATTAGCATTTCTTCCTTTTTCTGCTGTCACCTCAATTTTTAAATAACTTGCATTGCTGTGAGCCACTGAGAGACTCTAATGTTCAGTATTTCATTTACCTCAGGTGCCTGTTTGCTGCCATGAAGATTAATGTTGTTGATTTGTATGACCCCCACTTTCACCATCTTTCCTCAAAATGACCTTCCCAGCTTCTGTCCTCTGTATTCTACTGCTGCCAGCATCAAATACCCCTTCTCATTGTCCTATCAAGTGTCATTCACTCTGTCCCACTCCACTTACGTTTCCTCCTTTAAAGAAATCAAAGACGAGCACAAACTACACCCAATTTCATACATCTTTGTAAGGGGTTTGCATTGCAAAGGCTTTAAAAACCTCAGAAGTCTCTAAGAATTAATTAAGTATTATAAATCTTGTTGTGCTATGCTTTGACTTAGTTGAATGTATCATGACAGATCACTCCATGTGCTTGCATAATTCCATCCAGTAACTCAAGTATGAAAGAACTGTATATCTGAGGTATTGCCAAAGGTCAAGACACCTTGAGGGACATCCTGTTTTGCAGTTAGAATAACTCCGAATAAATAAATCTGCTTATTTTTTATAGTTAAACTGGTAAGTGTAAGACTTGAAGACCTGAATATTTGGCCAACAGCCTAGTATCTAGGGCCACATTATTAAAAAGAAACTCAAGATGTTTTTGTTCCTGTCCCCATTTCTCCATTCCCCCCCCCCATGTCTGATTTTGATTTTCATTCAGGCCTGGGTGCTGTTTTTTCCTGTGTTGTGTTATTACAAGACAATCACTCTATTTTCCTCGACCACATACAGACTCTCAACAATTCTGTCTTTCAGAAAGGGTATTGCTAAAGGGTCTCTTCAACTGGAATACAAATAAATAAATAAATCCTAAAAATTTAATTAAAGCCTTAACTAGCTTAAGCCCTGGCAAGCAGGCAGAGTGCAGTTAACATTTTCCATTAAATCTGAAGTACTTGACATAATGTGGATAGTTTGAGAAATACAGGATAGGCACATGTTTTATTCAGAAACCAATGAGAGTTTACTGCTGTGCCAAGTAGCTGTCAGAAAGTTGGCATAAGATGTCCCTTGTGATCCATTTTGGGATACCCAAAAGAATTAAAACACAGGAACAGATATTTTGGGACTTTTTAATGCTAATTCAACAAGTACTTGAGAATCCTGAAAAAGTAGAGGCCTGCTAAGGTTTAGTCCTCCTTCCATGTTATCTTAAAATCAGAGGTTTTGGTCTAGTGTTAATTTTTGGATATTAAAATCAACCTTCACTTACAATTTCAGTTCACTTTCTACAGTGTGCTAGCTTCAGTACAGTAGTAACACTAAACTTTCTATTGGGGAATGATGCAAAATACAGAAAATTCATGATTTCTGCCAATCATTTTGGTTTACTCATTCCACTTTTTTTTCCTGTTTATGTTCATCATTTCATTTCACAGAAGCAAAGTGTTGCCTTCCAGCTCTTCAGCTTATTACCCACTATTTTACAGTTTTCATGGCTCGAGGACCAAAGGAGTGCTCTCACTGTGTAAGTGGAATTAAAGTCAGTGTGTATACCAAAGAGATATGGAACAAAATCCACTAGTGTCCAAGTGAACTGTGGAGGCCTGGTGAGTCAAACATCTCTTGTCCTAATGTATTCAAGCAAGAAACAGGAGTAATTTAGGTGACTTTGCCTGGGAACCTGACTGTGCTTTGCACTCAATCTTTGTTTTCATGGAAAATAAAAAATAGTCAGTAAAAAAATAGTGATATTTGAACTTTATAACCAATATAAAGTCAGGGCCTGTCCGGGATTTGTACCTTCCAGCCTGCAAGCAATGTTTGATGCATCCGACCTCTGCTGGTTTCACCCGTACTACTGTCTTCATAGAGTCTTCATTCTCTGCCACTATAGCTTCTTCTTCAAGAACCCAAGTTCGATACTTGTGAGGTACTGTAAGAGTACAGATCTGTTAATTGATGAAGCATTTCTGCTCATAAGTTTCAGGTAAGAAAACCAGCCTTTTACAAGAATTGTGGTATCTTGTACAGTCTTATTGTGACATTGGCTGAGATGCTGCAAAACTCAGCCCTAAAAAGTTTTAATTAGAAAAAAAGGCCCAAGTCTTAGCCCATAAAGTTAAATATTTAATTTTATGTTTGCAGAGCAGATTTATGGTGGAGGGCAGAGGGAACAAATTTTTGTATGCCAATT